CTATCCCCGCAAAGTGGAGAAGATTTCCATTAAAAAGAAAATCTCTGATATCAATTTTGAAGCTAGCGCCCAGCCCTATTGCATGTACTGCAAATATAAAACTGATATATACTTACATCATGAAGCAGTTGATGTCTGGTTTCTGACAAATACAGCAAAGAGGTGCGTTCTCCCCCTCCATACCAGTGTTCTCAGGTACTGGGACATGGTCAGTGTCAGACACTTCACTGTCCTACAACATACAACATACAGCACGGACCACATTACAAATCATGTATATGTAGATGTACTAATTATACATGGCTGAATGGATGCAATAACAACATGTTACTTAGCTACTGTAGTTATTTGTTTCCAGCTGTGTGCAGTTGCTCCAGTCTTACTGACAGTATACTGCGTCAAACACCAGTGCCAACATTTTATTTTTTAAATCTTAGTATGATTCTGCACCAAGACTTGTGGCCTGTTGCTCGGTAACTTATTGTCTGACTATATTAACTACAGTTCATAAACATCATTCATTTTCTCCCACTTATTCCATTCAAGGTCTATTCCAGCTGTCATGGGGCAAAAGTACACCCTGGACATGTCGCCAGTCTGTCGGAGGGTTATTAGAGAGACAACCACGCACACCAATGCCAACTAACATAGACTGTTTCTTCCTATCCTACGCAAGGCCACCTGGGTTGGCTGGAGGACTGTTTACTTAGCCTGGCAGGGCGAAGGACACTGTCTCAGCTGAACTCTGGACACACACACACACTGATAGACACTCATCCCCCCTCCCTTTCCAAACGCCTGCGATGCTTGTTCCCTCCCAGTGCAGATGCCGCAGACATGCTGCAGGACCGGATGCGCTGTCCACACCGGCTCTCTCTTACCCACCCCTGTTGCTTGTCTTGTGTTTTTATGGTGTATTGACAGTCATGTGCTTTTTGTGCTGGGGTGGGGTTTTTTTCTGTTCTCAAACTGTTCTCCCATTAGGAGCTCAGTCTGAGTGGATTTTTTTTTCTCCTCCTCTCACCTCATGTTATGTATTTTCTTTTTGTTTTTTCCTATCAGCCTACCTCTCTGACATGTCTTCCCAATGTGATGTTTGTGTAAAGTTCGGTCAGAAGGTTCCTTTGTAAGCGCGCATGCAACATTAGTGTGCTGCCTGCTGTAACCCATAATTTCCTTCGGGATTAATAAAGTATTCTGATTCTGATTCTGATACAGTCAAGAGACGCGGAAGGTCCCGGTATGCATCTGGACCGGCGAGGACATCTACGAGCTTCTCTCGCTCCAGAAGCTCCATCTTCAGCCTCTCCGCCATACAGCCTGAGACAAACACACCCATGAACGTACCCTTAATGTGACTTCCATCATCTGATGGAGCATGAGAGATGGAGCATGAGAGCTTACTCACCTAAAATTCCAATTTTCATTGGTGTGTGGGTCTTTAATCGTTTCCTCTTCATAGCTGTTAGTTGTTGCAGTCTATTCCATATTGTTTGCTCAGCCTTTTCTCTGTTAAGAAAAGAGATTAGGTTGCAAAGCTGCCATCACCTAGCACTAGATTTCAAAACTTTTCATGTTTGATCTTTGCTCCTACCTTACAGAGCACGTTACCAGAAGAACAACATCTGCCTGCAAGTACACGCACATCTTAAACAAACTGCATTAAAGTTACTTCTGCTAGATTCATAAAATAAAACCAGAAGTCAGCTGTACCTCGCTTAGATGAGCTGTGCGCTGATAGCCCTTCTTCTGCAGTATGGACCAGGCTATCTCTGTGTCATTCACATTCATTTGACATCCATAGGTTTCAAAATAAACTGCAACAATAAGCCAAAGAACCCCTTTAGCATCACCACAAACATTCAAAGCTAAATAAACAAATGGCTTTCACCGACCTTTCCTTGAGTTTCCCATCAACAAGCCTTCAGAGAGATAGTCATGCTTTTCTGAGGGTTCTTCATCTGCAGCACGGCTCCTGTTAGCTGGAAGCCCTTTAACGAAATCCTGAAAACTTGGACCAGATGATAGCCGACTCTTGAACTTGTCTACAGTCTTCTTCTTTTCTCTCACAGTGTCAACAGCGCTAGCCAGTTTAGAACAGTATCTAGCCTGGATGCGGCTGAGAGGGGGCCAGTATTGGGTTACTGTAAATATGGGTTTTAAAGTCCTGAGGTACTCCATGCTTAGCTAACCACAAGAGCAAAGGCTTCGTAATTCCCTATCGGGTGTATCTGGAAATGAGCGACTATGTATTTTAGTTAGCTACCTTTGCCGCAACCTAAAAACTAACATAGTGTCAAAAGTGCCTTTTTACTCAGTAAGATACAGCACGAGTGCTAACTACCTCGAGTGAATTGTCACTCAGGTACAGATATCATGTGGAGCCAAAGATGTCTTAGTATCAAGAGGAGTCACTCCCTGTTTCAAGTACCTGACGCTATTCATCAGTGGACCTGTACCGCCGGTCAGAGGAGGAGACGAGAGATTCAGCAGGTTGTTTACACTGAATAAATGGCTTATATCAGCATGTGCTGACCACTCAGTGCATTTTATCGACAACTTTAATATTTTTTGGGAACGCAGGCATCTGTTTAAAGCAAATGGATTTAATTTTAACAAGTCAGGGGTGAAACTGTTCACCTCCAACGTGTTTTATTCCATACGTCATCCATCCGTGCTTGGTGCCAAGGCTGAGATAAACGAGGAGTTATCTCATAAAGAGGAACAAACAGTACTCCAAGAACAGACAAAGCCCAGCAGAAACCTTGAGGAGGAGCTCCATTTGCCCCCACCCGGGAAGAGCCTCAGAAAGGAGAGACATCTAAGGCAAGAAGAGGGGTCCCTATTTGCCTCCAACTCTCTCAACAACACCAACGACCAGGACAAGGGACCACGACCTTCCCCAGTCCCCCAAACCCCTGACAGGCCATCACCCTCCTCCCCCTCCCTTTCTCCCTCCTCCCCACACCTGAAATTCACTGAGGAGATGATGGAGCGGGTCAATGCTGGGCTCAGATCTACCCCCCGTCCCAATCCCTTTTTGTCCCCCATAAACCCCCCACCAGAGCGGCCAAAGGTTCGCCATCGAGCCCCACCCTCAACAGAGCAATTGAAGTCACATTGCCCAGCCTCGCCCCCCTTAGTTCCTCTTCATGCCCTGTCTCCGCAGTCTGATGTGTGATGTGTGGAGGGTCCGGGCTGTGAGGATTATGGCAGTGGTGACTTTTCCCAGGAGAAGCTGGGACCCTGTTTACTAGAAGGTTTTAAAATTTCTGTACTTTTAGGTGACAGGAGACATGTGGCCTGGTCAAAACACAGAGAGCTGCACTCTAAAAGATCTTTAAACATAGTAAACATACCTTGTGTGCCACAGACTGCTCCCAAACACGAGGGGACAAGTAATACCTCTAAAACACTTAAGTTGGCTTTATTAAACATTAGATCTCTAGCTGGGAAAACATTTTTAATTAATGATTTAATCACTGAGCACAGCCTTGATTTTATGTTTTTAACTGAAACTTGGTTGGACCAAAGTAACAGTGGAGCTGTTCTCATCGAGACGACCCCTCCTAACTACAGTTTTATCAGTGAGGTCAGGGCGAGCAGGAGAGGAGGAGGGGTTGCTGTCTTATTTAATGAATCATTTCAATGTAAGCAGCTATCTCCTGGAAGTTTTCAGTCTTTTGAATATGTGGCTTTACAGCTGAAGGCCCCATCCAAAGTTGTGTTTCTTAATGTTTACAGGCCTCCCAAATACTGCACAGACTTTTTTAATGACCTCAGTGAACTGCTGTCTGTGATCTGTGTTGATTTTGACTGTGTAATTATTGCTGGGGATTTTAACATTCATGTGGACAACCCTCAGGACAAAGGGACTAAAGACCTGAGTAACACTCTGGGCAACTTTGGGCTGACTCAGCATGTAACAGAGGCCACACATAATAGAGGACACACTCTTGACCTACTGATCTCCAAAGGCCTGAGCATTTCAAAGGTTACTGTGTCTGATGTGGGCGTGTCTGATCATTACTGTGTTTTCTTTGAAAGTAAAATCTCAGCCCACACAAATATATCAACAACAGTGATCACAAAACGGTGTATAACTGAACACAGTAGTGCAATTTTTAACCAGGTCTTCCCATTAACACCTGATCTGTCCAGAGGGTCAGTCAATGAGCTCGTCAATAGCTTCAATGCTAACATGTTAAATGTAATGGATACAATTGCTCCCATTAAGGTGAAGGTTATCTCTGGAAGGAAAAAGTCTCCATGGAGAAACTCCACACTGGTGAAAAATGAAAAAAGAGAGTGTAGGAAAGCTGAGCGCAGATGGAGAAAAACAAACCTCCAGGTTCATTATGACATTTATAAAGAGAAACTTCACAATTATAATTTACAACTGAGGGATGCAAGGAGGTCCTACTTCTCTGACATCATCACTAAAAACAGCCATAATGCTCGGGTCTTATTTTCTACAGTTGACAGGCTAACAAACCCTCCTGTGCCAGTGGCAGCTGAACTTCATTCGACCATGGCCTGCAATGACTTTGCCAAATTCTTCACTGAAAAAATCCAAAAAATTAGACAAGCAATTGGTACATCAACAGCAGATCCAGGATATGTACTGTGTCCACCAAAAAACTGTTTAAACACCATGAAACAGTTTCAACCTATTAACAGCAAAGACCTGGAGGACATCTTAGGTAAACTGAACTCCTCCTCCTGCTGTTTAGATGTCCTGCCAACAAGTTTTTTCAAAAAGGTCTCAAAGACTTTAGAGTCAGACCTGTTACAGATCGTCAACTTTTCTTTATTATCAGGTGTGTTTCCAGAATCACTAAAAACTGCTGTAATCAAACCTATACTGAAAAAGGACAATCTTGACAAGACACAAATGAACAACTACAGGCCGATCTCAAATCTCCCGTTTTTAAGTAAGATCATTGAAAAAGCAGTTTCCCAACAGCTCAGTTACTTCTTAAAACAGAATAATTGCTACGATGCCTTCCAGTCAGGTTTTAGACAGAACCACAGCACTGAAACCGCTCTGACCAAGTGTTCAATGACATATGTCTGAATACAGACAGTGGAAAAATGTCAGTCCTAGTTTTACTGGATCTCAGTGCAGCATTTGATACAGTTGACCACAACATATTACTCAAACGACTGGAGAACTGGACAGGTCTTTCAGGAACTGTACTAAACTGGTTCAAAACATACGTAGAAAACAGGAAATACTTTGTATCAATAGGTAACTTCACATCTGAGCAGACAAGTATCACATGTGGAGTTCCCCAAGGTTCCATCTTGGGACCCCTTCTGTTTAACATCTACATGCTCCCACTGGCACAGATTATAAACAACAACAAAATAAACTATCACAGCTATGCAGATGACACACAAATATATATCACAATGTCACCAGGAGACCGAGGCCCTGTACAGGCTCTTGGTAAATGCATTGAGGAAATCAATGACTGGTTGTGCCACAATTTTCTCCAGCTAAACAAAAACAAAACTGAGGTAATAGTCTTTGGCGCCAAAGAAAAACGATTACAGGTCACCAGAGAACTTCAATCTATACATCTAAAAACCACAAACCAGGCGAGAAATTTGGGTGTAGTGATGGATGCAGACCTAAACTTAGAAAAACACATTAAGACAATAACAAAGTCAGCTTACTATCACCTCAAGAATATATCAAGGATAAAAGATCTGATGTCTCAACAGGACCTGGAAAAACTAGTCCATGCATTCATCTTTAGTAGGCTTGATTACTGTAACAGCATCTTTACAGGTCTACCTAAAAAATCAGTCAGACAACTACAGCTCATTCAGAACTCTGCTGCTCGAGTCCTCACTAAGACCAAAAAAGTGGACCACATCAGTCCAGCTCTGAGGTCCTTACACTGGCTGCCTGTCCGTCAGAGGATAGACTTTAAAGTTCTGATGCTGGCCTATAAAGCTCTGAATGGTTTAGGACCAAAATACATCAATGACCTCCTGACCCAGTATGAACCATCCAGATCCCTCAGGTCATCTGGATCCGGTCTTTTATCAGTTCCCAGAGTCAGAACCAGACACGGAGAAGCTGCATTCAGCTTTTATGCTCCTTATATCTGGAACAAACTCCCAGAAAGCCTCAGATCAGCTGAAACACTCAGTTTATTTAAATCCAGGTTGAAGACTCACCTGTTCTCAGCTGCATTTGAATAAAGCACCAAATCCACACTTTAAGCTTAAATTTCAAAACTTACATTTAACTACTGATTTTATCTACTGTTCTGATTTTATCTGTTTTGATTTTATATACTGTTCTGATTTTATCTGTTTTGATTTTATATACTGTTGTTTGTTTGTTAATTAGTTAGTTAGTTTATTTGCTTGTTTTAATCAATTTTAAATCATGCTTTTTATTTGTTCTTGTTTCTAATGTCTCTGTAAAGCACTTTGAATCACCTTGTTGTTGAATTGTGCTATACAAATAAACTTTCCTTGCCTTGCCTTGCCTAATGAAACCCGGAAAAACGTGTCACTCTTGTGAAGTGTTGCTACATACTAGTAAGTTTGTTTCAAACATAGAGGAAGCTCGAAAAGAGGTAAATAGTTTTTATCTTTAAGTCAATTCAGGCGCTTATCCAGTGTGTTAATAAGGTAATTAAATGTCAGACTACAATCCTCGAGAAGTCCGTAATGTCCGTTAGACAAAAATGTCACTGTACGTCCATCTTCACGGTCCGTCGTCATAATCTCCTTAGTCTAAACTATGGTTCCGTATGTGCGACAAAGCTTTGAAGGGAACTTTAACATTTACAGAATCGGGTTATTGATGGTGAGAGACGGATTTATGTCGTTGGGTTATTGTCCAAAACTCAGCTGAGGTCGAGATGAGAGTGCGCATGAAAAAAAAAACGTTAATGGTTTTTGTTTGTTTATTCGTTTGCTTGTTTTATTATTTACATTAATCGAGGTCTTGATCTTATAAAAATATTCAATATTGTTGCATACCGACGTAAAGTATTAATATCAGGCCATAAGAACAAAACATTGTTCATACTTATCATGTAAATATGAAATCCTGCCAAAACAGTTTCAGACAGATGCTTTTAAATAAAGTTTTTGTTTTTGTTTTTTAAAGAAGAAGAACAAACGGTGACGAGAGAAAGCAACTTCTCATATGAATAAGTGAATATGCCCCCAATCCGCATCCCGGACGCACACACAGACAGAGAGAGAGAGAGAGAGAGAGAATCATGTGTGATGTAGGCGTGACTGGAGCCACAGGTTCAGTATAAAGTGAGCATGAACTCTGGGATGAGAAACAGTACTGTTCCAGTGTTTTCTTTTGTTCGTTCTTTCCTGGAAGTGAGACATCATGAGAGTGGAAGGTGCGGAATAAAACTGCAGAGGCACTCAGGATTCTTACCAAGAAAAAAAAAAAATCAAGGTAACTTAGAAAAAACACTCTGAATTTGATATCCATGTTTGTATAAATGTATTATTTATTCTTAAAATCATGATATTTCCTGTCACGTTATACATCTCTGCCTGCCTCAACTTCAGTTCCTTGTGCAGAGCGATGAGGCTGGTCTGGGAAACTGTGGTTTCAGCGTTTTTTCTAATGTAATTTCTACTCCTGTCATTTGTTCTGGCTATCCACTCTTCTCCAGGACTAGCTGTGATGATGGAGAAAGCTGCACTGCTGCTTTGCTGCCTGATCATGACTTTGTCAGGCTCCCCACTCTACCCATCCATTAGGTAAGTCCTGACAAAATCACTCAAATTCATTAGGTGTTGTTCATTTCCATTTTTACTGAGGTTTAGGCATATTTTGAAAGTTACGTAAACCCTTTGCTTAGTTCAGCTGTTCAGCTTTGGGAATGCCGATCAATGACAGCATTGGATGATTACACAAAGGGAACATTTTTTGTAAACTCATGGCAAATCACACCAATATGCACTATATATGCATCATTTAGCTAAAATGTTTGGAAACCTTACCAAGTGACATAGAAAATTTTCTTAATATTCAAAATCTGAATGAAACATTAAATATAACATATTTGATCTCTGTCAGGATTAGAAAAATGGTCGTGTCGAAGCTCATCTAACAGTTGACTCTTTACTTTACATGTCATAGCTGTGTCCTCTGTACTTCTGCTAAAAAGGGTCAAGAAGTCTGGATTAGTCACCGCGTTACGTTTACGAGGCATCATCGTCACAGTGTCGTGTACCAAAGCTGCAGATGTAATTTTTCACGCGCTAAAGCATTTTGCAGACTGATGATATTTTCTTTTCTTTTAAATCTGTCATCTTTACAAAGACTGCACTACTATGAAATCATCGTTCTTGCTAGATAAAGGGCTATGTTTGAATAATGGCATTTAAGATGTTCTGCATTCATATAGTTCATGGGGATGTTTCTCAGGTTCGGCCAGAGGGATACATCTATCCTGATGACATCTTCACTAAAGAATCCAGCAGAGCAGCAGGAGGAAGACGCACGTCCTCCCAGGGAGCCAGCAGAGTTGCGGTCCGTATGTTAATATGGTCTGAGTGGCTGATGTAAAATATGGCTCAAAGGCTCAGCTAATGAAACGTCCCAGTCAGAGTGGATCATTTACACATTTTTTAATGGGGATTCTTGATTTATTAGAAGGTACATCATTTTCGAAGATATGTCAAAAAAATACACACAGCTGAATACAATGCAAGCAAACATTGGACTACAGATAGTCTATGCTGGACCTAAATCTTTATATTTTGACCTTTTAGATATGGAGCTACATTTTATTAAAATAGTGCACAAAGTTTTCATTTATGAATTAATTATGAAATGTGGCTAAGATCGATCCACCCCATAATACAGCCCGTGCTGCAAATATAACATATTTCTAATGTAAGATGGGGAAATATTGTTTTTCTACAATATTATGATTTCATTGCACATTACTTAAAATGGATAGTGCAGTGAACATGCACTTGTCATTACAGTATATTTTTTGGTTTCCTGTAAAAACTTCACTTGTTAATTTCTTATTTTGGTGTACTTACCTTTAAATATTTATAGGTAACCATGACTACATTGTAATTTCAAAGCAAATATGTTGAAATTCCATTTGATTACAGGGTACTTACACCTTTAGTTGCAGGCCGTATTTTAAAGTTTTACTAAATGTGTCTTAATACTTCGAACTTTAGTGTGGATGCATAAAAAGATGTGAGCAAATTGTAAATCGACCGCTGGCCAGCTCCCAGATAAATCCTGCCGCTGCACTGCAGTTTACTTTATTTTCTGCTTACACTGACTGAACTGATGCAAACTGTCCCCATTTCTGATTCCAGCTTAGGGCGCCACGCTGATGCCATCTTTACAAACAGCTACAGGAAAGTACTGGGCCAAATCTCTGCCAGAAAGTTCCTTCAGACAATCATGGGCAAACGGCTGGGGTAGGTAACACAAGTGGACTGAAATCGCTCCAATGTGTGTGGGTTACCAGTACAAATAGCCAGTGAAAGAGGAATTATTGTTGGGTTTGTTTGTTTTTTTCCCCACAGGGATGGAAGTGAGAGCTACATGAAACGTCAGTCAGATATCTATGAGGGGACATACAAGGAAGACCTCACAGCCATCCAGAGAAATCAGAGATACAGGGGGGTGCACGGGAATGTCCTGAGACACAGGTATACACGTCTCCAATCTTTAAAAAGCCTAAACATTCAGAATTTGGCTTTTCCCACAACTGCAGATTCACTAAACTGAATCTTTTCTCTTTACAGACTGCTGAGTTGAGGAGGAAAGCTTTATCATCACATTTTTTTTAACCATCTTTTATTTGTTTGAGGGTGTCCTTTAAAGAAAAGAAAAGAAATCATCTTATATATTCACATTAAAAGTTGTGAGGAAATCCTACAGCCTAGCTTATCATTGTGTGTATGTATGTGTGTGTGTGTGTGTGTGTGTGTGTGTGTGTGTGTGTGTGTGTGTGTGTGTGTGTGTGTGTGTGTGTGTGTGTGTGGGCGAGGGGGGGTTGGGTTATTCAAACACCCAAATCAAACTATGTGACCAGATTTCATTAAAAAACCCTTTAGTGGCTTTCTGATTGTGTATCTTTCTGATTGTGTATCTTATGTGAGGATTGTCTCAAGAATGTGTCTTCAGGGCCATGTCTGCATTATAAATGCCAACTCTGTGTTACAGGTTTCCTGCTATGATTAACAGATGCGACCTTGATGGCCTGTTAAATGGCCGTGCGTGTTGATGTTACTGTACATCTGCACCTTTTCTTTAACATTTCAAGATGTTTCACGAGACAAAAGATGTGATATTTAGAAAGCTTGTATGGAAATGAAGTACATATTTGAAGCAATAATATATTTTACGAGTTTAAAAAGAAGTCAATCAAATCAAATCAAATCAAAATTTATTTATATAGCACATTTTTAAGACCGAAGTACACCAAAGTGCTTTCCAGTAAAATCACAATACAGATAAAATCACAATAAAATATAAATTACAAATATATAAAATATAAGATAATTACATAATCTAAATACAGAGCCAGATGTAAATTACCCTAATTCGCCTTAAATGCCAGATCAAACAAATACGTTTTTAAACGTGATTTAAAAGACTGAATGGAATCTGACGCGCGAATATGAAGAGGGAGAGTATTCCATAGCCTGGGTGCAGCAACGGCAAAGGCACGATCTCCTCTGGTCTTCAGCCGAGACCTAGGTTGTACTAAGAGCAGTTGGTCCGATGATCTTAGTGCTCTCTGAGGGCTGTACAGACAGAGGAGATCAGCTAAATAGTCAGGTGCCATATTGTTTAAAATTTTACAAGTAAACAATAAAATTTTAAAATCAATTCGATATTTGATAGGAAGCCAGTGTAAATTTTTCAGAACAGGGGTGATAGAGTCAAACTTTCTAGTGCCGGTCAAGAGACGTGCTGCGGCATTCTGGACCAGCTGCAAACGCTGCAGAAGAGAAGATTGTAGACCCAAGTAGAGTGAGTTACAATAGTCCAGTCTTGACGTAATGAAAGCATGAATGAGTTTCTCTATATCTTTGTGTGGTATGTAGGGTTTAGCCTTAGAAATTAGGCGTAGTTGATGAAAGCTAGTTTTCACCACAGTAGAGACCTGTTTATCAAGTTTGAAGGAACTGTCCATGAAAACTCCAAGATTCCTGGCAGTATCAGTAAGGTAGTTAGCAACAGGCCCAAATGTGCCAGTCAATTGTCCCAGAGGCATATTTCGGTCAAAAACAATAATTTCTGTCTTCTTTCCATTTAAAGTAAGAAAGTTACGTGATAACCAGTCTTTGACATCACTCAGACAGTCAAACAGAGGATGTGGTGAGGATAGAGCATCCCCAGTCAGGTGAAGGTAGATTTGAATATCATCAGCATAACAGTGAAAAGAGACATTGTGTTTCAAAAGTCTGCTGTAGTCGCATGCAACTAGTAGTTTTTGCTGCCTAATGTGACTCTTCAAACACTGCAGATTAACTGGATGTCATTCTGCTGTGTTCTGTACCTGTTACACTACAGTATGTGCTGGCATTACCATTAGCCTGTAATTGTCTACTGTGGCCATCATGGGCACGCTTTATAGACTACACAACTTCACAGAGTGTGAAACACCTTCAAAGATCCCTCCATAGGGACCACGGAGCACCTTAACTCTGGGAAGGTGAACTGTTTTTATCTTATGTGAAGACAGATTAAAAAAATATCCCTTTAAGGGACACACATGTGTGTACAATAGCGGGGAGTGTAATCACGGTACTGTCTGCACAACTGAGGAACAAACCCCAGCAGGCAGCTGGACTCGTGGCAGCACAGGTGCTGCTTCTAACATTGTCTTAATAACAGCTCTGCTCCGTTTAGAACTCTCATTAAGCTCTGCCATTGATCCATAATGCACAAACACCAGTACCCGACATTTGAATCATCCATGAATCGGTTCTATGGATTAATAATCTTCGCAACCTGTCATTTGATCTGACTTTGAATTAATCAGGGTGTGTTATCCACAATCCACGTGAGTCCAAGTGACGAGCTTTTGATGTGATTTCTATGAGTGATTCTTAATGTTTAGGATAAAAGTTGCTCTCTGTTCCTAATGCTTCCTCCAGCCTGCTCCACTGTGTGCAGGAGAAGAGCCAAACATGTTTGGCTCTTTGTGAACACACTGATGCCTTCTACGTAAAGGACAATAAATCTCCCTCAGGTCATTTTCTCTGCATCAATGATTACAAGACTTACTGAAAACATCACAAAATGATGACAGCTACTTCACTTAATGCTGGCGTCCATTTGTAAATACAGATGTAAAGCAGTTTTCAGATAACTATAAAATACTTTGTTTAGTGCCACACTGCTGGTTTCGTTTTCTTTCAGCTCCTTGCTTAGAGAATTTTTTTAAAATACTAATAATTTTATTCTGTGATATATTTTTATCAGACGAAGCATTTTTCACAATAAATTCCTAACTTTTGGAGATAAAAGTATTCATCTTTTATCTTATATAAGCTATAGTAATAGGTTATATTCTGACTGCACTACAAAATAGCGAACTCTCCACTTTTTTTTCCCTATGCTGTGCTTTTTATTTTTATTCCCACAATCTGCTCATTTGCATTCAGTACATGTAGCCGCCCTCCACTCAGACCTGCAATAAATTCGAGGCTGCTGTGGCTCAGGAGATAGAGCAGGTCATCTACCAATCAGAGGGTTAGTAGTTCAATCTCTGGCTATTCCAGTTCAAGCACCTTAGAGTCCTTAGGTGAGATACTGAACCCTGAATGGCCTCTGATGCATTCAGTGGAGTCTGTGGGATCACTAAAGGTGTAGCTTTTAAAAGCAGCAGTGTGACTTTGATTAAGAAAGTACTATGGCAGTGCAAGTACATTTATCATTTATCTAATGTGTTTAGGAGACACCTTTAGATTGTAGCTGGAAAAAGAAGAATGTTTTTACCCAAGCAAATATCATTTCTTTCTCCCCTACTGTGATGACAAAAAAATAAAATATATAAGAGATATATATATATAATCAATTTGACATACACAAAAAACCCACTGAGCTCATATTCTTCTCTATAATAAGAAAAAGAAAGAAACACGTGAGACTTGACCTCCCCAGCACCTTTATTTCCTGTTCTTCTTTACAAAAACATCCTCAAATTGCCCTCTTTTTTTACTTATTAACAGACTTTCTCAGAGACATCGACTCTGTATCAAATAGGAAACAGCCACAGAAATGTTCCATGTGTCAGTATTACTGCCAATATGGTTCATTAACAGTTGAAAAATGTTACGAGGAGAGCTGAGGGACAAAAAAGAGGAATGTACCAAAAAAAATAAAATAAAATAAGGAGGGGGGCGGGACAAACCCAGGTTTAAAAAAAACAAACAAAAAAAAAAAAGAAACCAACAAAAACAGCTCGCAATAAGAAAACAAATCTCACAGGAAGATGAAGTGCAATGATCAGTAGCTCCACAGTCCTCTGCACTGAGTGTTATTCCAGACTCCCAGAGACGTGGTGATATTTCAATTTCTTCCATTTGGCAACACAGACAAACTGCATGCTTTGAAGTTTTCAACTTTTCGTCCCATTTTCTCTTAAAAAACAAAACAAACAAAAACAAACAAAAAACAAAACAAGGTTTTGATGGAAACAACAAAACAATCATCTTCTTTTTTCTTGCCCCTATTTTTTCTGATTTCTGTGGAGAGATACAAAAACAAGCATTAGTTATTACAGACATGACAATGAATGAATGAATGAGAACCTCTCTGGGTTCTCACTGAGCACCTGATCACTGACAAATCATGGATCATGCATTCTGATTGTGCACCCTACCACAAAAACACAGTGTAAGTAGGCAAAAACACAGAGCAACCATCATGACCAAAATCTCTCAAGTCGTGGACGATGCACGGACATGGACACAAAACACATCTCTCAAATGTAATGGTACAACCAGAACCACGAGTGTTAGACAACACAATGGAGGGACTGTCCAAGTGGCTGCATGGCTATGGTTGCAGTGATCGTGGTGGGATGAGTGAAGAGGCAAACCAGAGGGGGGGTGGGGGGGTGGCAGCAAGTACATGTGAACACTCGGAGTTAGAATGAGCACCACACAGCCATGCACGCTGCGAGACATTATGGAAATGCGCAGTGGATGCAGTCTGTGAGGATGCCCTTACTTCAGCCTGGAAGCAGAACCGACTCATTTGTTACATATGGGGGAGGCTTTATCGAAGGCTTCTATACTTTGCCAATCTACTACTTTGCTCTGCAGCAATCCTGTAAGACACAGCGAGGTGTGGATAGAAGGGTTAAAGAAAAGAAAAGAGCTTCACGAGACAAAAACTAGCCTGGAAGAAGGGACAAAGTCCTCAGTTGGAGAATGACATTGGTGAAATCATTAATTGAAATCTTCTACGTTGTTAAATGGGCTGTTGTGAGATCAAGAGGTAAAGGCGGACAATTACAAAGCGAGCTCTCAAGTCAGAGACAAATTGCTCACTCTGGCCCTCAAAGAGCTCTACATAATCACGGTGAAGAAATTGCCCCTGATATCATCACTGCTTTCACTCCTTTAGATCTTGCTGCTGTTCTTCTCTCCTTTTCCAAGTATGCACAAGCTCTTCTACTGGCAGAGAGCCTGATATCGAAATTAGCCTCTGCAGGCCCACTGAACAGCTACGAATATAGAATAGGCACTTTCCCTCAAGTTTGGAGATAAGAACTACCTAGAAGCCTCACAGCACTGAAGTCCTTGTTATCTGGAAAAGGGCTAGGCTTTCTCTCTACCATTAAGGACTCTCTAGGAGCCATTTGTGCCAGTCGCATTTGGCAGGCGTACCTCTTCACTGCTTTCTGGGCCAGCATGCGGTTTCCGGCAAGGAAAGTTACACCGCCGATGATTGCCAGGTACTTCAGAGTCTGGAACATGTTCAGGTGGGTCCAGTAGACGTACATCAGGCCCAGCATGGCTGAAATGAAACAGCCAAATAGATTTGAACATTAATGACCACCCAGCCAAGTTCCCCATCTCCACTCCTTCACAACATATAGAATGCTCCAATGCTATGATATACTGAGCCATAGTCCTTTGAATTTGACATATCTTCATGGTAACAAAAGGAAATAATTATAGAATAAAACCTTTAATATTTTTACTGGAAGTATTACAGTGGTCCTGTGGTTTGGACAGCCAGCAACAGCCATTAACAGAACTGCAGCCACCATCCTGTTGCGCTGTAGTAGCCATTGTGCTGTCACGTCATTCACTCTAAAACTTACACTATAGCCTACATGTGTTAGTATCATGGATCACATTAGCTGGTTAATTAACATGCCAACTCAACTAGCATTTAACAAGTGGCTTCTTCCTAATGGCTCATCCTACAAAGCTTACAGAAACCACGCTCTGTCCTGACATCTGCAAACACGTTGCTGATGAGTTTATGGGCTCAGTCACTTGTTACGGGTCACACTAAATGAGTCCAATATTTAAATATTTAAACTTCTAAGAGTCCCTCAGCCTAGTGACTGTTTAGTGATCCCCAGGGAGCCGCTGGTCTAAGAAAAACTGAACCCGACCCAGTTAGCAAGTAGTTGTGGCAGGTTGCTGCCAGTCACTAACATGAGATAGGTTTCCTATCCCATTCTGGTTCTAAAAACACTACCCTGTGCAACTGGTTTCACCCAGCAGTAACCAGCCAACATTTGCTAACTGGTTGGGGAACACACATTTTTCCCTTTATATTCTGGGAAGCAGCCACTAAGAAAGCACAAATGTTCCACGAAAATGTTTTAAGTTGCGTTAAAAATTACATTAAACTGTTACAGAGCCATGAAGGTTTTGCCACGTGTGCACAGACATCGGGAGACACGGCACTTCGAAGGAAATTTTTTATGCCTAAAACACAAACCTCCCTTTAAAGAGAGCACTGTGGCAGGTGAAGCATCGGATCTGTGTGGCGTGACGAGAACACTGAACTCTGTGGTGATAAAAAACGCACAGAGCTAAGTCTGCTAGAATTCTGCATTGTTTTCCTGTCACAATTGCCTGTCGCACTTTTGTGTCATCATGAAGTGCCCTCGATTTCAGTGGTTTTGACACTTCATGGGAGATGTAGCCCCACCAGATGTTTACTTTGGAGAGCAATTTGCACAACAATAGTGATGATGGAAATGAGCAGAAATTTGCATTTCCTGTTGTCGTGCTTTTCTGGGTTTAAATTTTTGCTTCTTTTGGCTGCTAAATTCCGCACATGGAAAACTGACTTAATGTCACAGAGGTGTTTGGGGAATTTCATGAATAATGCATACTTAGAATAATCATTCTGCGTAATGTCAGCGGTTCTTACAGCAATTCGCTCATCGTGTAGAACAACAGCGGGCAAACAGCAGGCAGAGAAGCTGGAAAAAAGTCGAGTCTGTGGCAAAGATTTCATTTCAAACACGGGGACTAACCTGCGTGTCCCAGATGGAACAGGATGGTGCTCGGAGAGAAGCTGAAGCTGGAGATGTTGGCGCCGAGCTTGACCCACTACAGAGGAGGGGAATAAAACACAATGTGATTTTTCGTCCTCTGCAAGAGGACAAAAGAGCCAAAAAAATTGTTTACCACCTAACGCACAATGAACTGATCCACGGCAACAATGACTATTATTCATCACTGAAAATGCCAGGGGAAAAATACACTATAGCTTTTGTGATTTCAAATTAAAACAAGTATTATAGTCATAGTGGACTAGAGTCTCATTCACTGTCTGTGAAGGCTTCGTACTGAAGAGCTTTTCAACAGGGGAAAAAAAGATCACTGCACAGAGCAATAGCACAGGCGGACGAGCTATCAGGGAAAGCTTGGACTGATAATGAAATAGGTTTGTTTGTAGGTGTGTCTCTTTAAATAGCAAATTACTTCCATACGTATACGAAACCACAGCTAGATGGAGAGTGGAAAAAAAAAAAAGGGAAACATTTTGTACAAACATATTATTATTATTATTATTATTATTATTATTATTATTATTATTATTATTACCAGAATGAGCAGCAGCAGGAAGGGAGACAGGATGAGTGCAGTGAAGGTGTTGGAAACCACTGTGGAGGGCTTCTTCTCAGGTTCTCTGAACAGATGCTGCACAAACATGAGGAGATTGTTAAAATCAAGCTGGTTTCATTCTATCATCAGCCAGTAAATGAGATGTTAAGAGAGCATAACTAGTACCTGAATCTCTGGTTTGGGTACATAAAGAGTCTTAGGTTGAATTGTTGCCGGGGCCTCCTCATCCACGAACTTCAGAATGACGTCGGCCTTTCAAAAGATTAAAAGTGGGTGAGCAGGGTTTACGTCAGCGAGGACTCGCTATCGCCAACAGGCCTCAGACACTCACCACGTTCCACAGGATGGGATTCTCTAAAGTGGCGTCTCCAACGATGAGGTAGAGAGAATAGGTGCCAGAGATGGAGTCGAATTCCGATTTCCGCTCGGCTGTGTCCAACTCAAACTTGTACAGGTTCTTGCTGTCGGGTTCGGCCACAAACACGACCTCCTGGCCAGTTTTCTGATTGTGCAGCCGTACAAAGGTCTGCAACATGGACAAGAAACAGGTTTTTGACATCAGGTGAGGGTTTGAGCTCACCCTCCTGCCATAACCAGTGTGTGTCTTCTTGCGTTTGACTAGGCCATATGGTCACAAACGAGACTATAAAAGCAGACGAAGTCAGAAACAAGTGTTCTGTCAGCAGTTTGCTGTAGACATGTGTTCCTGTCACACTCTGATTACACACCTGGTGAGGTGTGAGCTCCACTCCAGTGTTAATGTCAACCAGCTGGAAGGACATGGCAAAGTTCTGGTGGCTGTCTGCTGTGAAGGAGCTCTTAGCTTTGGAAGGATAGTCCACCCTGCATGTGTATTTACCAAAAAGAAAAGACAAAAACAGATGAAAATCATTTAGTATTTTACTTTCCTCTTACGGTGGATCAACAAAAGCTGGCACCACTTTTTAAATTTGATTTCCAACCTGGTGGTCTTTGTGCCGATGCTCTGGTCCTTATCCACCACAGAGAGGTCCATGTTGGTCACAGCCACCTCTGTGGACACCTTCACTTTAAGCTACAGGTGGAGACAGAGTACAAAGCAGAGTCATGAGTACAGTAGTCAAAGTGTGTGCACAAACAATGCAATGAGAATTCAGTGGTTCCCCACACAGCCTGCACACGGGCAGGCAGCCCGGGTATATTAAAGCCTGAACAGATTATCCTGGATGCAAATCACATTCTACACATCTGTGATGGATCTAAAAGGAGTGGACAATCCCTTTACTCTTGTTTTCAAAGTTTAATCACTGCTCAAATGTCTCCTTAATATGGTTTAATATGCTACTGTGGAAAAACTCAACAGCATTCAGCTGCTTCCCCAGAGAGGATCGCAGAATCCAACTCAACAGTAGCTGGACCAAAGCTTGCATCAGCAGCCCCGGAGGGCCACTCCAACCAAAATGTGTAGCAGATGGAGAGCTGGTCCATACGTGACTACACCGAGACTGCAAAAGAGCAAAATGAGAACTACAAGTGCCAACTTCAAGACGGTGCCATCATCCCTCGGATCAGAGGTTTGCTGGACTGACATATGATTTTACTTTTTTTTTTTTTTCCCCACAAAGTACATGGCAAATAAAATACTTGCTGATGAGAACCTTATAAACATAATTATTTCTTTATTCATTTAAGAAATGATGGATCCCCGTTTTTCCTTCTCCTTTCCTTCTTCTCCTTTCCTTCTTCTGCTTTCCTTCTCCAAGCTGCTGGACTTGAATGAACACAAATTTTAAACTGGTGCAGCAGGTACTTCACACACACACACACACACACACACACACACACACACACACACACACACACACACACACACACACACACACACACACACCAGCACCACGTTAGAGTGGTCTGTCCAACGATTTCTGTAACTGGGTTCACATCCACTTCATGTCGTGACTGGCCAGCTGCGAGGAGCCAAGAAAGCAGCCTGATTTTGTACTTCTCTCTCTCGTGTTCCCTTTTCCATTGGACACAGAGCATTTTACGGCACTTCTCCTGCGAACAACCAGGTGAAATATCCTGACAGTCTCCATGGAGAGACTGTCTGATGACGTGCACCATTGTTCCCACATACTGCACAGTATCCTGTTATACCCCACCCTCCAGCTTTGTCATGTCTCAATATGAATGAACAAGAGCTGCACAAATATGTTCTTCTAATTTTTGTTTTTAATTATATAGAAAACAAGATCATCTGCATAACCACATCTCCCTGATCAAGTTTTATTTATTTGGTTTTCAGTTAGATTGTAGCTAAAGTTCAATCTGCTGAAAAAAACAAACATGTTTTTAAGTTAGGAAATACATAAAGATTGTAGAGCACTCGTGTTAATAATTGCAAACTCATTACTGACCAAAACTATTCTGATTTCTGCCATAACTGAACATCAGCAGTGAAAGAAAGCTCCTGAAGCTGTAGAGGACCACCGTTTCCACAAGCCCAACAGCAGGCACTTTGTCATTAATACAAACAGCCTGCTGGTTAGTGGGATGGGCAGTACACCAGATGTATCAGCATACATGCAGTAATTTCTTTAATTATATGAATATTAAGTCAATAATAAGTCAAATAGCACTCAATAAACCAAAATGCCTATTGTGGATTTTACAGGAGTTAGAGCTGCATCCACACGTAGCGACCAGAGCCCACAGAAAGTGATCGAGTAAAATAATCACTGGGATGCAAAGTTGGCGGAAAGCGAGTACCAATGCGAGTGCAGGATACTTTCGATTGAGATATGACCTAGTAGTAAATGCATTAAAGGGTTACCTAGGCAACTGGAGCCTGGAACGTGTGCAAGCGATGAGCTGTCAGCTTCAAAGGGAATCATTTTGTGTGGACACAGTTTAAGAAGTTGAAGCTCAAGCTACACTTGTAGTATATTCATTAAAAGGAAAGTTTTCTATGCAGTCTATGCAGCGCTGTTCAAAACTAAGCACACCCCAACATTCAACAGCTAGCAGAACCACCGTCACTGTTTTGTGTACGACTTTATCCGTCTCTCATGTCGTTGTAGAGGAATTCTGACCCCACCCTTCTTTACAAAACTGCGTCAGCTCATTGAGGTTTGACTATATTTGATTAAGGCATTAATTTAAGCACAGCTCTCTTAAGATCAACAGCATATTGATCAGGTTGAGTTCTAGACTTTGACTGGACCTTTACGACATGTTGATTCTTTTCTCTTTCAGCCATTCCAAACTTTACTGCCAGAAAGAAGAAGAGTTTGTGCTGATGTGCCGTGTTTGGTTTTTCCCAAACATGGTAGATGTACATTATGGCCAAACATCTCCACCTATTCACATAAGTTTTGCTTTAATAATCAACAGCTTCCTGAAATCAAAGCACGTAACAGTGTTTGAAATATGAACACTTTCCAAATCTTTCATATTTACAGAATGGTATTCTGGGTAATGTCATCTTTCAAGGTAGAATAACAGTACAACAGCTGGGAGGATGTTTGTGGCTACATATAAAGACGAGGATGAAGAAAGAGACGCGACATGCCCTAACGCAGACCTTCCCAAAGTGGGGGCGCAGAGCCATTGCAGGGGGGGCGCGGTATGAAAAGGGGGGGGGGAGGCTTGGACACTGCTAGCACGGGGCGCCCACACAAACGCAAAGCAGGAGATGAAGCATCGCGGAATATGTTTCCAAACCAACTTCATTCTAAGCCAAAGACTAGAAAATATGGTGAAGCATGTCTGCCCTTTGGCTTCACCTGCACAAGTGCCGAGGTAGGTCTCCCCTGCAGGATTGGTTTTCCCTGCGTCGGGAGCAGCGCTGGGCTGTTCAAATCACGGACAAACAGGATCCCACAGCTGTTCATGTTTAAACCCATTTTGCACAGAGAGGCATTTTTTGAAAAATGTATTGATAGTAATGTTGAATATTATTACACAGGAAAAAAACAACTACACGTAAAATAATCCCACTGTGACGCCTCTGCCTTTGTAAATGGAGGGACAGTAACTGCGTGTGTATATGTAAACATGTAAAACCTGAAGATTAACAGTATTTTGTCTCCATCTGCCATTCTGCAATTCATCTCACGTAAACAATAACGTGGCGCACAGCGTGACGTGAAAAAAAGGCACACACCTTTGACGTTGTGTTACGAACTCTGTATTCCTCGTCCACACGTAAACATAAAAAAGGAGTTTTTAAAAAAATCTCAGTTTTCGGTGATTTGAAACGCCGTTTAGGTGCGGACGAAAGGCCCAAGCACATAGAAACAGCTGCGTTTTCAAAAATACCCGTGTAGGTGTGGACGTACCGTACAAGAGTTAGTAGTTTATTTTATTATTACCTGTAATTTATTGCAGATTACTTGTATTTGCTTAATTGTTTACTAAATGTTTGAGGTGTGAAATAAACCGCAATGGAGCAAAATATGGGTGTGTGTGGTTGGAGGATGTGTTTGTGCGCGCGCAGGGCGCGAACATTTTTCTTGTAAAACAAAGGGGGGCCCAGCAAAATAAAGTTTGGGAACCACTGCCCTAACGTAACATAACATGTGACTAACAGAGAGCTGTGTGTATTTTAAGCTTTTTAGTTAAAGAAAAAATGAAAATTTTTTTTTTGACTTTTTCATATTTGCTTGTTGCTTTGCTCTGCAAACACTAACGAGTCACATATTTGCTTCAAAACAGCAGCAATTAAAAGTGACCTTAGGTGCAGACTACAGGCCTCAGGCAAATATTTCATATTAGTTAAGGGGGGGTCTAAGACTACTTTTCTTATTGTTCTGATTGTGTGTTATTACAATGATTTATTTTACATATACCCCTGACAAAAGGGAAAAGGAGTCACTGTAAACCTAAATAAAGAACCACTGATTGGAAAAATAACAATGACTATTATTGTGCATGCCAATTCCAGCTAAATGCAGCAAGAAAAAAAACGTACCTCGACATGATTGGCAACCAGCCGGCTGTCCCCGGTCACTGCAATGGTGAACTGGTAATATCCGCTGGCTGGCTGGCTGGACATGAAGTTCAGTTCAAAGATGCCGCTGAAAAGGAGAAAATAAGAAGAACTCAGTATAACAGCTGGGGTTGCAGTCACAATTTACTGTAAAATGAAAGTACGTTGGGATATTATGTAAAGAGGATTAGAAACACAATCTACAGCCAATGACAACTGTCTGCTTTAATACTGGAGTTTACCCTGTCGTTGGGGATAAATCTCAACTTCTGGGGAACTTGAGAGACGACTGTACAGCTAACACATTTGGATTCTTATACATACTCATTAATTGTGAATGGTGCTTGGTTGAGAATAGCAGCCTTCGAGGCCACAGCGTATGCAGATTCCACCACCACGTTGGCTGAGTCTAGTGGTTGAGACATGACATCAGTGACAAGGAGCTGTGAATCAGAAAGAGAGAGAGACAGGGTGATGTGACTGTGAGGTGATTAAAAACCACACTGAGGGCTGTAGATAGAACACGATCCATCATGTGTACCTGCAGGGTTGGCTGGCTGTGGGAAACAGTAGCTGGGCCCTGGGCAGTGACGACTACCGGTACGTGGAAGCGGTTGCCGGACAGAGCAGCGGCGGCGCTTGCCACGCTGAAAGCCTCAGCCAGAGAGTCCCAGGATTTCTTGCTGAAGATAGAATTCACCAGCTGGATGACCTGATCCTGTGTGAAGAGAACATTTGCCATCAATACCAAGCCAAATCGATATAACTTCAGCTGGTACAGCACCTCACAAACAGATATCAGACCTCTTTGATAGGAGGCTCCATGTCCATGTGATCTGACAGGGAATAAGCAGCGGTCACAAACATGGCGGTTGCTTCGAGTCCCTCTTCAAACTGGAGGTAGAGGCCACCGAGGTCATCCAAGCGAGCTGTCAGATCCTGGAAGGGAAAAGCCATCAGAAGGGGAGTTAGAATTTACCTTAATTTCTGTCGTGCATATTGTTGCAGTGATAGATACTCTTATTAAACAAAGCCAAGGTCAGCATATGTACAAGTAACACCTCGGAGTCAAAACTTCAGAGGTTTTTTTTACTCCCGACTCCTTACTGTCACTGAGAGAGGATATCACTGACTTGCTCAGCTCATCTGTTGTTCACACCTTGTGACTGGTAAAAAGAAGCCAACCAGAAGGAAACTAAAATGCCTCATTTGAACAAAGAGGCTGTCCCAAGGCCTAGTGCAACACAAATGTGGATCATTTGCAGCTTTACATCATGCAAAGCAATCCTTTTAGGGTCAAAGAATAAAAATATAAAACCATAAGTAAATACAATAGGGCCCATTTTGAAGATATAGGATTTCTTGCTATAAATCAAAAAATAGTGAGACAGCACCATCTGGTGGTAGTTTTAAAGTTCACCTCAATTTCTTCCAGTATTCCTCCGAGCTCTGCCTGCTGGGAAAGCTGGGATGCTGTTTGCAGAGCCATGGTGATGCTGTCCAAAGAGAACACCCATTTATTGTAAAATAAGATGCATAGACTCTCTTTATTTTTATTGTATTTTTTTGGTAATGACAACTGAAAAGCATCTAACACTTACGCCATAACATTATCCTCTTTGTTGATCCGGGCTGTCAAGGAACCTACAACTTCCTGGGAAGCAAGAGGAAGCCCAAGAGAGCTGAGAGCAGTCACAGCCCGATGAATCTGAGTCATGGTCGAATCTTCACTGACTGCAGCCAGGAGGAGGTCGCGGGTTTCGTTGGATACAGGGATCTAAAGAGTTAAAAACAAAAACAATGCACACAAATGTAATTCATGCATTTCTGTTACACTTATCTCTAACAGAAAGAAGGGATAACAGACAGAGAGACACCATGAAATATTTTTATACCTCACATCCTGAAATGGCACGACTGATCTCAGCAGCAAAGAAGAGTGAATCAACACTAGTGGAATCAAGCTGAGATTTCACAAACTGGCACACATCCTAAAAACAAACAAATGTAAAACAGCCACATAGTGAAGACCGATGGGAGTCTAGAGTCCATATATTACATATGCAAATAATGAAGGACTGTTTTTCTCACTTCGTGATCGGGAACTGTCGCTCCCAGCTTGGTCAGACCTACAACTGAGTAGTATGCGGACTCCAGGTCAGTGAACTGCTGGCTCAGGAGGTTCTGCAGTCGGGCCACATCAGACAGGGAGAGGTAATGTGACGGTGTGAGCGCCTGAGCTCCGGAAAGAGCCAGGCTGAGAAAGAACAACCCGAACAGCCCTGCGGACACACAGCATGGACTAAGTAATCTGACGCCGGCTGCTGCTCGAAAGGTGAATTCATAAACACAAAATTAAATATATAATAAACAGAATAATACATTTTTATAATAGCTTCTCAACATACAATTCATTCATTCATGTAACGCTCGCTCGTGCAGGTCTAGCTACGAGCCAGCAAGCTAACGTCAGTAGGAAACGGCACACTGCGAGCACAGAGCGGTATTTTTCCACCAACGATAAAACCTGCATTTCAACAAAAGCTTACACGACATGAATAAAACCAAAGATGCACATAAATGACATTCAATTCGGCGTTTTGTAAAGGAATGTACTCACTAGACCGGTCCATGTCTTGAGGTCTAATGCAGCGTCACCAAAAGCGACGATTACTTCCGGTGTCTCAGAGCGCGACCTGTCAGTAGGGGGATATCCGGCTGTACACGTTGCATTTAAAAATAAATGCCCACTAAAATTATCATTTTTATTATTATTATTTTAATATATAAATACTTTGTATACGTGTAAGACGCACTGTAAATAAAATAATGGTCTATATTTACATTCTTTGACATCGAATGCAAACTGTAGATCATGTTCGCAAATATCAGCTGTGCCGTGGCCATACTGCAACAGGATTCTGGATGCTTTCAGGAAATTTCTAGATTTTTGTACCTATACAGCTACCGATATCACTGTAAAGTAGTATTTGCAAATCGGACTTGTTTAGTTTTTGTTTTTCATTTATAAAAACCGCATTTAAATTGTAAGCATTTTACAACTAATTTTAAAAGTACACTAATGTGACCAACTGTGCTCTTTTTTTGCACTTGACTTGTAAAAGCCTATATGACTTTTTTTATTTCACCATTCATTAACCGCATAGAGAAGTTTTCGTCGTTTAATAATGTTAAAGTTTTCTTGAAGCAAACGGTATTATTAAAGTTCTTCATGACCGGGCCAAGTGTCCTCTTATGTGGAAATCAAAATATGGTCACCCTAAAGTACACCACGTGAGTCAACTGCCAAAACCTGTTTTTATCGAGGTGGTTTCTTGTGCTGATGGTGAGTACATTAAGTGTACTCCACTTACACTGATACTTTCAATGGAAAGTTTGTTTTTGAATTTTTCACAGGCTTACATAGAGCCTTAGGAAATTGTTTTTTCACATTCCTGTGTACTCAGAAATTTAGATCTTGCATTAAGAAAATGTGATTGGAAAATTCTGAAAGTTAATATCTTAATTTAAGTTACCTGGACAACTCCAACCCAAGCTAGGAAAGAACTTTAACCTCTAACCTTTAACCTGCTGAGGCTTCCTGATTGTTGGGTCTTTGCCTTGTAATATAATGTAATATATCACTAAAGCACTTCTGGATGGATGCAAACTACATTTCGTTGCCCTGTACCTGTGCAGTGACAATAAAGTTGAATTCTATTCTATTCTATTCTATTCTAATGTGACCCGATTCAAATGTTGTGAATTGGTGCCATATAAACATAATTGAACAAAATGTTGCATAAACTAAGACAGGCTCCAATTATTAGACCACACTTTCAGCACATTCCAACTAAAACAAAGCCTACTTTATACACCTTAATTTGTCAGGACTGCATCACAAAGTTGCAGCAGCATAATCAAACAGCAAGTGTATTGAACATATCAGTATTTTATTCAATTCTGCAACATTCTTGTATGACAGAGCAAACAGTCAACTCTATTTACAGTGTCACATTATTTATAATCCCCTTCACACCAACAGTTGGAACACTTTTACACCTTCACTACATCTCACATAAATGACTATTACAGATTAAAACTTGAGATGTACGCATCTTGATGGGTAGCTCCTCATCTTTAGAGATATGATTAGTGTCAATTTCTCTCCAATGTGTGGGAAGCTACAATTTGTGTGTACCGAAATGCATCATAAAACGAATCTATACATGCTAAATAGATCCTACAATAAGTGTTCCCTTCATGCATTACTGTTCAACCTGTAAATCCTCTATAACACAGAACATGGATATGGAGGGGCAACCTTTGTACAAAACACAATGTTAAAAAAACTGTTTAATCACATGTAAAACCTTTTTTTTTTTCCCCAGTGATGGCAAAACTATACAGCCTTGATTTTTCATTTACACATTCTTCTTCTTCCCCCTCAACATTCATTCGTTCTTTTCAAACACTGAAATAACAACTATGGAATTAAACATGCCTGGCAGCCTGACTCTACATCTAAAAGCAACATTCTCTTTCAGACAGGCCTAACACTGTCAATAACCTGATCGCTAACGTGTTGTTCAAACATGGCGCTAACCTTACAAGACGTGACTCTTTCTCCGCCACAAAGTACACCAGGCCCTCAGGAGAAATGGGAAAATAGCAACTGTTAGTTCTGGATAAGTAACATTTTGGCGTAAAAACACGAGCCATCTCAGGACAGGATCAGAGCCCGGCTAGGAGCGTGGGATTTTAGTGAGCGAAGGTAGCGCCGGGCTTTTTCTGTCATTATTAACTGGTCTTTAGTTTGTCCGCAAACAACCATTTCCCATTCCTTTGACATCTGTGGAGGAAAAAAAACCCCATAAACAGATGTAAATGACTTCACACTCTGATTACACTTATAACTCCTCTCAAAAGAGCAAAAAGGTGGAACATACTGGAACTGGGGGGACTGTGCTGGGAAATATGGCACTGTCACTTGGTCCCAAAAGGAAGCCCTGATCCAAAATGTTTTCGTGCCGCTTGCTGCTAAGTGGTGAAGAGCTGACAGAAATCAACATCGGTTCTTCCTGTGGCCAAAAAAGTAAGGACCAAATATCAAGAATTAGGATATGACTAAACCACACGCAGGCTAATAAAGCGTTTGCACACACTTTACCTTGATGTTGTGTTTGGCTGATTTACGTTTGGATGTAGGCATCACCTGGCAGTCCATTACATCCAGCGCCAACGACTTACGCACTTTCTTCATAGGAGGGCGATGCTGGCAATAAAAGACGATCAAATCGGCAAAGAGAAACAAGGTCTGTTAAAAATATCTGAGTGAAGAATGGAAGGAGGGTAGCAATGAGCTGTCAGCAGCTCTTAGCTCAAAGCATTCTCACAGAGTGGTGGCAGTAAGAGCCTGCTTTGGGTACAGCGACTGAACAAGGCTGCTTTCTGTGTGTGACAACTGTGATTGACAGCCCCGAGGTGGGAACTCCTGAGTGTGAAGAAAGGAGGTGCTATGTTCCAAAACTTTACAAGTTACAAAAGGCTCAGTGTTTGTGTAGCTGAAGGTCATTAACAGAATAAAATAGCATCCCCTGCATGCACCATTACAAAAACCCTTTTAAACAGAATTCCTCCGTACTAACATTTGTCAGTTTGCAGCTACGGCTCTAGGTGTATTATACTCATACATGTTGCACACAGAATGATTTTTTCTTTAAATTATGTGGAACATAGCAGAACAAAAAGAGTGCAAAACCGTGCAGCCTATATAGTGGAAAGAAGACCACCTAAGACTATTCAGCCAGTAGGGGAAGGATATGTCATAAACAGCGGTAGATCCTTTCCCTGCCCCAGGTATTAGTGTTTTTTGGCATTTGTGTCTTAAACTCGAATATTCAGTGTAGGATTAGCACTGTGTTATACTGCCCACAGTATAAGTGTACAAAAGTGAAGGGACCTGATGCATGTGAGCAGAAACACACTGCTATCACTGACAGAGCATGACAGCACATGTAACTGAACTGTAAAGTTTGATGATTTTAGCAACTTACATCTACTTACAACTGCTAGTGAGACTTTTAGTAGTTTTCCTAGGATCAGTTTCACTCCAGGTTTTAGATATTTAGTGCACAATATGTATACTATGGATGTTATGATCAGGAGTATCAAGATGTCAGAGCACCCGCACTACTACTATATTAGTATAGCGGGTCCATGGGGATGAAAAAAAAGAGACAGTTTTTGTGAATTAAGAGAACACTAATGATTTTTAAATTAAATTCTAGATATTGAGCTGCTAGCCAGAATTTTTTTAATTTTATGATGTTATTTTATTTATTTTTTCCAGTGTAAGCCTAATGAGCCATGATGATGACGACTTTCTTTAATTTACTGTAGTAGCATCTTCCTAAAGTGGACAAACTCAAAATTGTGTTTATTTTTATAATACATCTCAGCCTCATATTAATGGATGGGGTATCCGACCGGTGGCACTGACGTCACATCTTATGAAGACTCTAGAGCGGCTCTTCCTCAGTCTCCTCCGACCACAGGTACAACATGCCCAGGACCCACTACAGTTCGCCTACAAGGCGGGTGTCGGAGTGGAGGATGCCATCCTGTACCTCCTGCATAGAGCCCACTCACACCTGGATGGGGGAAAAGGCACGGTCAGGATCCTGTTTCTTGACTTTTCCAGTGCCTTTAATACCATCCGGCCCTGTATGCTTTAGGAAAAACTGAACAGGATGGAGGTGGACCCCTGCCTGGTGGCTTGGATCTCCGACTACCTCACCGACAGACCACAGTACGTCAGGCTGAAGGACATCACGTCTGACACTGTGGTCAGCAGCACAGGAGCACCACAGGGAACTGTGCTGTCCCCTCTTCTCTTCACCCTGTACACCTCTGACTTCTGCTACAACTCTGAATTATGCCATATTCAGAAGTTTGCAGATGACACGGCCATCATGGGGTGTATCTGGGATGATCAGGAAGAGGAGTACAGAAGTCTGGTGAGGAACTTTGTCGCATGGAGTCACACAAACCACCTGCAACTCAACACCTCAAAGACTAAGGAACTGGTTGTGGACTTCGGGAGGTCCAGAGAAGGTCCACTGCCGGTTCAGATAGAGGGGGAGGAGGTGGAGGTGGTCAACAAGTACAAGTACCTCGGGCTGTGGGTGGACAATAAACTGGACTGGTCATGCAACACAGAGCACCTGTATAAAAAAGCCCAAAGCCGACTGTACTTCCTCAGGAGGCTGAGGTCTTTTAACATCTGCAGGAAGCTCCTGAGGATGTTTTACCAGTCGGTGGTTGCTGGAGTACTTTTCTATGCTGTGGTGTGCTGGGGGAGCAGCACAGCAAAGAAGGACTCATCCAGGCTGGAGAAACTGATCAGGAGGGCTAGCTCTGTGGTCGGCATGAAGCTGGACACTCTGGTGACAGTGGCAGAGAAAAGCACACTAAAAAAAACTGCTGGACATTATGGACAATGCTGGGCATCCTCTGCACATGGCCATTAACAACCAGAAGAGTCTGTTCAGTGACAGGTTGCTTCTCCCCAAGACAAGAACCAACAGACTTAAAAACTCCTTTGTCCCACACGCCATCAAACTGTTTAACTCCTCTCTGGAGGGGAGAGGGAGGGGAAACAGGTGGACAAAGGAGGGTGGAACAACTAAGCTGTAGTGCCTCTTCACCTCACTGTACAATACCTTGTGCAATACTTTTTGTAAATAGTCAACAGTGCAATAGACTCAATACTTGAAATGTGCAATTCACTTGTATTTTTATTTTTTATTCCTATTTATTCTATTTATCCCCTTTGTATATTTTATTTATATTTGTCTCTGTATTTTATATATATATATATATATATATATATATATATATATAAATATATATATATATATATATATATATATATATATATATATATATATATAACAATTCTGTAACTGTAACTTCGGTCGTTGCTGTGCTTTTTGGAAGTCGAATTTCCCAGAGGAACCCACCCGAGGGATTAATAAAGTTCTATCTTATCTTATCTTATCTTATTATATTTCTTTATACTAAAAGAAAGGGGAACAATATGCAGGTGTATTAGGTTAGTAAATCTACCAGTCTGGCCTACTTGGAATCAAATGTTGGGCAGAAAGTGAGTCTGACACCAGCCTCTGACTGAAATGACTAAAAATCTGTGCAATGTATTAAAATCGGCTTTTAGTTACCACAGTTTTGCGCCTCTGTTCGGGTGGAGTTAAGCGCATCATTAAGTCGATCCCCGCATCTCTCAAGATGACCTCATTTATGTCGTCCTCGAGGTTGGGAGTCTGAGGCTGACAAAAGAGCAGAAAAGGCTGTTAACAGCACAGGAGAAAGACGAGAGCTAGCATGTTTTCCCAGACAGCACATGCTGATGCTCACCAGAGGCTGCAGAGGCCCGTACTTCTCCATGGCATTTTTAAACGGTGTTGGAGTTCGTGGGGTACACAGCTCAGACTTGTGGTTGGGTGTAACAAAACTAGAGAAAACAAAAAGGAGAACACAGAGAAGTTCATATACACTGTGTTAGATTAACAACGTATAATTCTTACTGTGAGAAAGACGCTAGAAGTCATTGTTCAGATTAACATCAGGCCCTGCTTAAACTATGTTAATGACAAAAATAAAAATCCTACTTCCAATTTTATCCACTCATTTCAGCTCAGTGTTACGTCACTTATGATCACCCTCACTGGTGGGTGTACCGCCTCACTAATACGTGTGGCTTTGAGCAGATAAGACACAAGCAGGCTGAATAGTTACAGTAATCGAGGTGCTGGCGAGATATTATGTTAGTGCAAGTGCTGCATTAAACACTGAACATAGGACTCGATTAGCCCATCGTCACCAATATCTAATCTCTCCAAACTTGAATCAGCATCAAACCGATATCTGATTTTTACACCACTTTACAATTAATGATTAGTTATTATTAATCTCTCACTCTCTTTCACAGTGTCTCTTTTGTCCTGTTTCCAAACCTCTGCCTGAGGCTTCTTCCTGTTAAAAGGGAGTTTTTCCTTCCCACTGCTGCCAAGTGCTTGCTCATTGGGGGGGGGGGGGGGGGGGGGGGGGGGGGTCGCCTGATTGTTGGGGTTTTCTCTCTATTGTTGTAGTGTCTTACAATGTGTTACCTTACAATATAAAGTGCCTTAGGTGACTTTTGTTGTGATTTGGTTCTATATAATAAATGAATAAACTGAATTGATGTAAAAAAATACTAGTAATAAATGTTAATCCATTGAATCTGACATATTCAATCCACAACCCTTTGTACTTGTAGAAAAACACACTCTAATAATTCTAAGAACATTACATGAGATTAAAATGTGCAAGAATCATTATTATAAGTTGGTGGAGATGCTTTGATGGCATCAGATCTTCAGAAATTTGTCTGTTTTTAGATGAACCCATGAAAAACGAAGCCATCAGATGCCTCCACCAATTAGAGGACTCTTACACTGAGTTTTCCTTTTGAGTGAGAGGCGTCTTGTCTCGCTGCAGTGGAGTGGTAACTATGGCTTTCTGGCTGCACACGGGTGTGGACGTGAGAGGCGACTCTAAGTCATGAGTGTCCTGCTTAGTCCACATGTTGAGAAACTGCAAAAACACACATTTGTCAGTAGAGTGCATTAATAGGACATGACTGCGAGTACCACTGAACAAGGGACTTACTTGAGATGGAGAAAAGGGCAAGATTTTGACAGGGGTGCTCTTAGGAGTCATGGACTTGTTGGCGTCGGGAGACAAAGCGATGCACCTTCGGCTCCGGTGGCTCAGTATGGAGGGGGGTGTGACGCCCCCAGGAGAGATGGGGATGAGTTCTCCTTTGCTGCCTTTGCTTAGTTCCTGCAGGGCGCTGCCTTCCAGACGAAACTGATGTCGCTCTGGGCTGGGACTGTCCTCGGGGAGGTCAAAGGCTGCGAGGTTGCACCAGCCATCAAGATCCTTAGTGCAGAAGAGACATTTATTTGTTAGGTCAGCATGCAACCACGACTGTGAAATAGCCAAGACTGAACAGGTGCAGGACAAACTGTATAGAGAATACATTATAGACAATATAAAACCAGGACAGTTTTTTTTTTTTTTAAATAACCCCGTAGTATTGTAGATATTCACCCCATCCACCATGTCTAACACTTCCTTCAGAGCTGGGCCAGTGGGAGACAGAAATCCGGAGCTGTCCACCACCCAGCTGGTGCTGTTCAGCGCTCCTGTGCTGTCCACCTCACTCTTGGGACTCAGACTGTTGGTTGGAGAGGGAACAGACTTTGACGGCCCAGCTTTGCTGGTGCCAGCTTTAGCTGACGTTTCTTGCAGCTATTGGAAAAAGGAGATTCTATAACAACACTAGCATAGACTAGTTTCTGATACTTAAGATAACTGTGTTATTTTCTTTAATGAATGCGAACAGTCACTTACTGAAGGAGGGATCTTCTGCTCAGAGTCCTTGTCTGAACTGTCTTGAGAGCAACTGGGCACCTGTGTAATGAGAAGAACCCAATTTCTGTATCTCACCATACATATCTTTTGTATCTTGTATCATAGAGGAGGACATCATGGAAACACAGCCCACCTGACCATCCTTGTTAACACGAGCCCACAGCTCCTCCAGCTCATTGGGCCTGAAGACCTCCCCGGAGTAGAAGCCCATCTCTAACTTCCGTTTGATGGTCGAATTCCAGTGATTCTTCACTGCATTGTCCGTCCTGTCAATATATATCAGGACATGAATTGCAGTGTTTCCCCACATACTGACTTTATTTGGCAACACAAAGTAATCCTCGCACTTGTTTTGAAAGTTGACTTATTGCTAACAACCTAGCCCTGGCCCTTCTCCTGAGACATCCAACAATGTAATACACTACCTCTTAAGTGTGTCTCACACCCTGTGGATGAAAGGATTCCAACAAACAACAGTAGACAATACTCTGCTGCGAAGATCTGCTGTGACCTACAGGCTCAGTCTAGCTGGAACAAGTCCCTTGTGGCTGAGAACAGAACAAGGACTACTGTTTAAGTTTAAGACTGTGGTGTAGGAGTCCATGCAGTCCATTGCAGGACAAGTGACCCACCAGATAGGCAGCTGATTAAATTGTTCATCAGTTGTTACAAAGTATCTGACAAGCACAGCAAAGTATCAAACTTTTCTAAGTTAAAAATTTAAGAATTCAATTCAGAAAAGAGCAGGAGTTTGCATGTAAAAGCTCATATCAGCCAAATTCTGTTTCTGGCAGAGTAGCTACTTGCCTTCCAGGGAGCAGTTTTGCGATCTCAGCCCAGCGATTGCCAAGCAGGCAGTGAGCCTTATAGATGATGAGGTCCTCCTCAGCCGTCCATGAAGACTTCTTGACACTGGGATTGAGGTGGTTGTGCCAGCGCTCTCTGCACTGCTTCCCCAGTCTGCCTTTCAGGTGCTTGGCTACCAGTGCCCACTGTTTGTTGCCATAAAGATTGACAAGCTCTATAACCTAGAGGACAAAAAAGAAAAGTTTAAAAAAAAAGAAGATCACCAGCATGCTTTTATTCACAACATATTTACTCCGTTAACACCTCTAAACTACCTACCTTCTCATCTTCCTCTTTAGTCCAGGGGCCTTTCACTAATTCTGGGTCCAAGACTTTAAACCAGCGGTGCTGACACTGATGTTCAGTATGATTCTAAAAAACAAAAAAGCAAACTCAAAATACTGAAAAAGATTTCTGTTGACATACATTCTTACAGAAAAGATGTTCAGACTCACAGGTATGTAGCTGGCTATGGTTTTCCAGTCATTTGGTCCCAGTTTCTGAACCAGCGTTTTAAGCTTCTCATCCTGTATACACACCCAAAAATGAGCATTTTTATGATCCCTGTCCTCTAAAGCCATCTAAATAGTCGGTTTACTTCAATGTTTAAATGAAGGTCTGGTTTACATTATATATATTAAAAAATAAAAATAAACAAATACCTCCTCTTGAGTCCATTTCACCTTCACTTTCCCTCCATCCCTCTGCTCTGCCACATCAGAATCAGTGTCCTGATGCATGGCCTCCTCTCCATCCTCACTGAGAGACAAACAACTGTGATGTGGACGAACATAGCTGACAGACAACTCACTACTGACCGGCCCTGGTGATGTCCGGAAGACAGCTAGATTATCGTTCTTATTTTTCTAGCAACTGCGCGGACAACAGCTCGCAGAAATAACATACTGTTTGCCAATTATGTCTGTGTTGAGCAGTGATTTATTTATCTAGTGAGATCTAAGAGAAACCGTGTTTGGCCTCAAGTTTAACCCTAAGCCTGTTTTCCGTGTCCGGAAAAAGGGCGGCACAGACACAAGCGAGCTCCCAGGCATAGCAGGGTTAGGTCAAACAGTAAAGACTGCAATTTCCAACTGACTGTATTAAACAGAAGACGTTAAATACTCACATTATCCCCCGTGTTAAAAAAAATAAAATAAGCACAGCTAATTTAGGTAATAAATATTAACATCTTACCCGCGCGGCCACCGGGACATTTCCCTCTATTTCTGTTGTTTACGGTCCGAAAGCGATTTCTCCGGCGGCCGTTGCACGTCATGTACATACGTACTCGGTATTATGTCGTCGTAATACCCGTGATTAATGTCTCTATGCTGTAGCCAGTGTTGGTGATGGAGGCTCGGCACTTTTCTAATGTTACAGCCTATACAACCAGCTGGTGCGGAGCGCCAGAGTTGTCCGCGCTCTTGGATTTCTATCTCGCGCTCTTCTCTGTCGTAGGAACCGGATAGTGACGTAGCTGCGCATTGGAGCTGCGCGTAGCCACAAAGAACGCTTCCGGTTTGTCCCAGCGGTGTAAATTTTGTTTTATTATCGTAAAATAATGTTTTTTGCTGTCATTTGTGTGTCCTAGTCAAACACTGTAAACACCCAATTGCTCAGAGGAGATGTTTAGATATTGTTACATAATAAAACAGTAAAACAGTAAATTTAGTTTGAAAAAACACGATTTTTCTACTAGAAAATTTCAGACACTTTCACATAAATATTTTTACTTATGAAGTCATTTTAATTTATTTTTGTTTGTTTTTTCATATTTACACTTTTAACTAAATATACTTTCTACCATTTCCTTCCCAGAAAATCTATAGTATGTTTGTGAACAGCTTTTAAATAATACAGTGCTTATTAGACCACCACCCAGTGTAAGGTTTATGCCACAGCTGCCTTAAATTGATAGTACTAGTATTCAAAAAGTATTTTTTTATGTTTCTGTATTGGTTAGGCCACCAGTATGTGTGAGCTCTTTAATAAAAATTATATTTTTATGCTAAAAGATTTTTTTAAACAGCATACAAAAAAAATAGTTTTTAAAAAGTTTAGTGATTTTGTTAAAATTACAGCCTTAGATATAACCTAACAGATTAGTGCTCAATAAACCACAAGTAAATTAAAGGGCCTGAATCTGTACAGGGCTGACAGGTCCACCTCCTTCTCCCACTGATGATCTGCAGCTGGGTCAATTAGCAAGTAGCTCCAACAGCTTAAAAGCCAGCTGGAGCTCAGGCAGCCCTGATTAAACATGGAGACAATGGAGAAAGTGTTTGTGGTCAAAGGTAAGAAAACTGGACTGAATTAGACGTGTTCATTTGCCTCATCAGGTGATTTGTTTCTGAATTCTGTCCAACATGTTTTACCTTTTAGATATGAAAAGCTTTGAGTGCTCATCTCCATCAGAGCTTGACAGGAAGTTTTATGGGGAACAGAGTCTGCTGTCTGCACTGTCAGTGGAACAACTGTCCACATCGAGGGTGTTGAATGACACGACAGCTGATGGATTGGACACCAGGCCGTCTGTTGGAGCCTCTCTCTGCCTGTCCTCTGACACCGCCTCCCCCTATTCAGGGTTTTCAGTGAACACCATGAACACTCATGAAGCTGACGGCTGCTACCTGGCCGTCCCATTACTGGGGAAGTCCTCCACTCCCCATATGCTCCTTCAGAAGCCAAAGCAGCCAGCTTGTTTTGATCAGTCATACAACGATCTCACCGCCTCGCAAATGTCATGGGACGTGTCTGTGATCAAGTCGGAGAGCAATAGCCCCAGATTCTACGTGGAGTCCTGCACTCTGGAGCAAACGTGGAGTCCAAAACCCTCACAACAAGAGTCACTAGCTGATGTTTCGCCCTGATGTGGCTAAAATTAACACTTTACAAGGGAAAAACGTTAGATGTCAAGTGTGATGTGTACTCCCAGCCTCTTAACACCCTATGTCCAAGTTACCCCCTGCCCCGCCCTCAAATCTGTAGTTTGACATCATGTTCCGTTTTTAAGGGATCCATGTGAGGACTGATGCAGAACAGTTTGCCTTTTTAATAATCATATCAATGTTTTAACTACAAAAATATTTTCAAAGCACTGTTAAATAAAGGGTATAGAACTTTATTTGCTCTGGTATATTCTTACAATGAAAGACAATACAAAGTTATAAAATGTAGCTGTACATGTTCTGAAAAGTGTGGTTACCGCAGTCCCTCCATTGTAACTGTGTGCTCATAAGCTTTCTAATTTCAACAGGGACGTATCGAATGTTCAGGTTTCTTGAATCCAATCACAGCGGAGTGAACCGGGCCTCCGGGTCCACATCGTGTTCCTGCCAAAAAGTGAGGAAAGTCATTATTGGACAAAGCCTTTAGATACAGGAAGATGTAGTTATGAACACACTCACCTGATTTAGTTTCTTGAACTCTACAACCTGGAAGAAAATGTGTTCCAAGATGTGCTTGGCATCCCTCTGCTCTTTATCCAACTTAGAAGTCACTCCGAGAATTTCACCACATTTCCGGACGTAGAATTCAAGGTCATCGTCTGTACCTGTGAACACAACCAGTTTAATATCAGGATGAGTACGATTAACTGCCTGCTTCAAAACCGGCAAGTTCAGAAATAAACTTAGTTTAAGGGAGATGTCTGGGTAAAGTGTACAAGAGGTGGGACTAGGATGATCAGATTTAGACTCATGAGCAAACATTTAACATGTAAAGAATATCAGTAGCAGGAGGATTGAAAGTTGCATCCCACCTGACGGGAGGTATCAACAGGCCTTTTTAGACTTGTTTACAAAAACAAAACACTACATTTCCTATTATTTGTAGTACTTTTATTCATATTCCATGAACATTTCATTCACTTTTGGTGATTTGTAAATTTAAACTTTAAGTAAACAGAAAAATATCATGAAATGCTAACCTGCAGGAGAATTATGACAACATTCTTCAGACATTCAATAATTCGATTAAATTTTATTTATATAGTGCCAATTCACAGTCCCCTATATTTTATTGTAAATACCCTACAATAATAGAGAGAAAACCCCAGCAATCAGATGCTCCCTATGAGCAAGCAACTGGTGACAGCGGGAAGGAAAAACTCCCTTTTAACAGGAAGAAGCCAACAGAACCAGGCTCACGGAGGGGCAGCCATCTGCCACGATTAGATGGGGTGAGGGGAGGACACTGTGGAAGTAGAGTTAGGTAGCTGCTCTGCTTCGTGTTGCCACATGACACTAAAGATAACAACTGTGGAGGAATTGGCTGACTTTTGAAGTGTCCTGTCTTATATATAATATATATGTTGAACAGAAGAGTCTGTTCAGTGACAGGTTGCTTCTCCCCAAGACAAGAACTAACAGACTTAAAAACTCCTTTGTCCCACACGCCATCAGACTGTTTAACTCCTCTCTGGGGGGGAGAGGGAGGGGAAACAGGAGGACAAAGGAGGGGGGAACAACTAAGCTGTAGTGCCTCTTCACCTCACTGTGCAATACCTTTTGTGTAATACTTTTGTTAATAGTCAACGGTGCAATAGACCTCAATACTTGAAATGTGCAATTCACTTGTATTTTTATTTTTTATTCCTATTTATTCTATTTATCCCCTTCGTATATTTTATTTATATTTGTCTCTGTATTTTTGTATGTGTGTGTGTGTGTGTGTGTGTGTGTGTGTGTGTGTGTGTGTATAATATTCTGTAACTTCTGTCGGTGCTGTGCTTTTGGAAACCGAATTTCCCAGAGGAACCCACCCGAGGGATTAATAAAGTTTTATCTAATCTAATCTAATCTTTTAAAACTAGGTCCAATTAAAAGATAAGACATAGGTTAAGTCTTAATATGTGATGCAAGAGCTGAAACTGCTGTGCAGTCCCACGTAAAGAGGGACACCTGATCAACCTATATGAGATACAGGATGACTACTGAACTGCTGTGAAAATAACCACCAAGCTTCTCACATTAGCTTATCACACATCATTAGTCTTATACGTGATAAGTAGCAAATGAAAGTCAGTTTAATGTGGAATCTCACTGCCCTGGACATGTAAGTCCTCACATACGCCTCCATCAAATGATATCTAGAGGGCTGCAGTGCATGTTTGGATGCTCCATTAGCAATTCTGAACTTACACTTATTGGTGAGCTGTGCCAGACGCACTTTCTCCGACGAGAATGTTTCGTCTAGATCGAACAGATCCAGCATGGGTGGAGGCAAATCGTTTAAGGCAGGCGGAAAGACCTGAAAGACAGGGCAGCACCTACTTTTGGCTTCAAACTTGTGGGACTTTAAGCAAAAATGTCATCTTAAGATTTCAGTGAAATCCTTTGTACAGAAAAACCCCAGGGGGAAAAAAACTCACAGCAGGCTGAAGCTGAGGCAGAGGAGTTTCAAACTGCGGTGCAATCAGCTGCAGCGGCTCAGCTTTCACATTAAGCTGCTTGTAAGCACTGCAAACCAAAGATCTGTTTTTAGCTTCGAAGGGAAACAACAGCGTTTGGACTCAGGGGAGGGTGACCGATTTCTCACCTGATGACTTGGGGTAAGGTGTCAGTCGACAGATTGAACAAAGACATATCAAAGAGAGAGGTGAAGTCCCGTGGGTTTTCGTCTCCTTCTTGTAAGCACACTCTGAGCTGTTCAGACAAACAGCCAGTGTCTGGCAGCATCGTGTAATCTGTGATCTGGGGGACAAAAAAAAGGACAAGAAGAAAAGAAGAACCTTGGCTCATTAAAAAAAAAAAAAGAGAGAGGGAGAGAACACAATTAGAATCAGAATACTTTATTGATCCCTGGGGGAAATTATTTTTTTGTTACAGTGCTCCATTATAAACCAACATTAAGACAAGACAGACAATACGCTAACTAAGAATAGGAATGGCTAGGAAAGCCATTCTGCCATGCACTCTTCTTCCTCACCTCTGGGTCTTCGGCATCAATCTGATTCAGCTGAATGTTATCGGTCATGAGCCACTGAAGCACAACGTCCTGTGATAAAAGAAAAAGTTTCATTTAAAGGAGCTTTATTCTAGAAAGATCATGCTTTTACCTTTACCTAATAAATTACACAAAAAAAGTGGACTTACCATGATTTTACTGTTCTCCTCTTTGTCTATGTATTGATCACTGAACATGTGGCAGGAACCCAAGACAGCCAGTTTGCCAGAATTCTACATTTAAAAAAAAGTAATCTCCATCTTACCACATTTCTGACCATATGGTTAGAAAAACAAAGTTGTTACTACACTGTGCCTCTGACCTTGCCATGATAGAAAGCCACGACAGGCCTGTTGAGGGGGAAGCAGACGGAGCCCGTTGAAAGAACAGCCACGGCCGGCTTCATCACGGTCAGTGTGGCACCGTACGGGTACACAAATGTGAGCGCCCTGCACAAAGAAAGACAACAGCTCAAATGTGAAGTCTTTCTCTTTAATACAGAAGATGGAGGTGTACAAGATTGAGACTCACTGTGCATTGTTTCCAACATTTTCATCTTCAATGATTCCTGTGACCACTTTTCCAGCAGCACGGCTGATCTCCCTGCAGAGGAAACAGGCAACTGAATTGATAGTTTGGCATGTA